TGGTTTTGGGATGCGGTAGGGGGAGGGGAGATTTTGAAGCTTGTGAAGTCCACATTGATACCATTGGGCTGCAGGGTTCCCAAGCGGAATATGAGTTGCTGTTCCTGCAACCTTCGGGTAGCATCGTTGTGGCACTGCAGGAGGCCCAGGATGGACATGTTGTCTGCGAAATGGGAGGGGGAGTTGAAATGGTTCACGACTGGGAGGTGCAGTTGTTTAGTGCGAACCAAGCGTAGGTGTTCTGCAAAGCGGTCCCCAAGCCTCTGCTTGGTTTCCCCAATGTAGAGGGGGCCACAACGGGAACAGCGGATGAAGTATACCACATTAGCAGATGTGCAGCTGAACATCTGCTTGATGTGGAAAGTCTTCTTGGGGCCTGGGATGGGGGTAAGGGGGGAGGTGTAGGGGCAGGTGTAGCACTTCCTGCGGTTGCAGGGAAAAGTGCCGGGTGTGGTGGGGTTGGAGGGGAGTGTAGAGCGGACAAGGGAGTCACGGAGAGAGTGGTCCCTCCGGAAGGCAGATAAGGGTGGGGAGGGAAAAATGTCTTATGGTTAAGCAAAATGTTAAACTGCTCATATATCGGGACATAGTCATAGGTTCATAAAGCATGGAAACAGTCCCTTTAGTCCAACTCGTCCATACTGACCAAGTTTCCCAAACTAAACTAGTCCCACTTGCTTGCGTTTGACCCATATCCCGCTAAACCTTTCCTGAACCAGTCCTAATGTCTTTTAAATGTTGCAACTACTTGCATCCACCACTTCTTCTGGTAGCTCATTCCACACATAAAACCACACTCCACGTGTAAAAGTTGCCCCTTAGGTCGCTGTTAAATCTTTCCCCTCTCACCTTAAAAATATGCCCTCTAGTTTTGAACTCACCCACCCTAGAGAAAAGACCATTATTATTCACCTTATCTATGCCCTCATGATTTTATAAATCTCTATAAGGTTACCCCTCAACCTCCTATACTCCAGGGAAAAAAGTCCCAGCCTATCCTTATAACTCAAACCCTCCAGTTCTGGCAACATCTTGGTTAATCTTTTCTGAACCCTCTCCAATTTAATAATATCCTTCCTATAACAGGGCAAACAGAACTATGTGGGGCTGCAGCTCAGCTGCATTTTTAGCCTTACTCTGGATCTAACCTGTGTGCTCTACCTATCCTGTGAGTGTTTGTTAGGGACAGTGCCAAGAGAGCTTTACTTTCTGTTTAAAACAGGAGAGAGCCTTACTCTGTAACCTAGTGTTGTACCTGTCCTAATAGTGTTTGACAGTGAAGAAGAAACTTTACCCTTATATCTAACCCCATACTGTGCCTGTCCTGGAAGTATTTGATGGGGACAGTTTAGAGGAATCTTTAATTTCAGTTGACAAGAATAGAGGCAGCTTTCCACAGTACCTAAAATGATATTGTACCTGTGTCCACAGCATTTGATGGGGACAGTGTAGAGAAAGCTTTAGTTTCAGTTTATTTTTAGATTAAAACAGTAGGGGGGAACATTACTCTGTATCTAACCCTGTGCCTAATCTGGCCTGGGAGTGTTTGATGGAGACAATGTCAAGGAACATTTACTTTCTGTTTAAAACAGCAAAAGAAACTTCACTCTGTTTCTTACGCCATGCTAACCCTCTCCTGGGAATGTTTGATGGCACAATGTAGAGAGAGATTTACTTTCAGTTTGAAAGAGCATAAGAAGCTTTACTTTCAGAATAAAAGAATAGAGATTTACTTTCAGTTTAAAAGAGTCAAGGAAGACATACTTACTTTGTTTAAAAGAGCAAAGGGAGTTTTACTCTGTATCTAACCTTGTAACGTACATGTCCTGCAGCTGTTTGATTGGGTACAGTGTGGTGGTCTTTGTTGTGTTAGCTAGTGGATGCACTGTGGTGAGATTGTGTGGGTGTGAGGAGGGGTGGGAAGTATCTAGTTGTGATAGTCCCACCAGAAATTTGCATGTTCTCCCTGTGTCTGCGTGGGTTTGCTCCAGTTTCCACGCACAGTCCAAAGATGTGCAGGTTAGGTGGATTGGCTATGCCAAATTACCCATGGTGTCCAGGGATGTGCAGACTAGGTGGGTTAGCCATGGGAAATGCAGGGTTACAGGGATAGGGTGAGTGTGGGTGGGATGCTCTTTCAACGTGTGGACCTGATAGGTTGAATGGCCTGCTGTCACAATTGTACGATTCTGAATGTGACCAAGGCTTTTTTTCTTCGTTTATGGTGCGAGGGCAGTATTTATTGCCCCTCCCCAAATGCGGAGGAGAGTTATGTTAGATCACTTTCCATGAATATCATTTGTGAACCAGATGATTCCACACCCCCACCCCACCCCCAAAAGTGACAATGGTTACATGGTCATCATCATCCACCAATGATATGATTCCAACCCAATTCCCCACTGGATTAACCTGAGTTTCTTGATCAGTGGGCTCATAACATCACTATGGCACAACTGACCCACCACCCCCCCCGCCTTCATGGGCTTTCCAGCCTGTTCTTGACCCACCCTCCACACCCCCCCCCGCCCCTGTGTAATTTACATTTATGTTATGGCCAGACCACATCAGGTCTCAGTGTTTGTAACCAATGGATATTTACTTCCTCTTCAAGTGGGCTAATGCACCCTGTTTACATATAAACAGAAAATTAATCAAAGCCTAAGTAAGTAATGTGGGCACATAAGTGAAAGGACAATTGTTGGCTGACAACCAAGAGAACATTCTTAGTTCTTCAAACAATATTACAGCATATAAGGTTTGGGAGTCTCACTCAAACATGACCGCCAGCAATGCAGCACTCCCTCAGTACTGCATGGAGAGCATTCCTTTATACTTTATGGCTCAAATCTCTGCAGTGGGGCTTGAGCCCATGCTTTTCTGAGTCAGGATGGCTACCAAGCCCAGCTGAAACCAGCACTCGTGCTTAATTACTTAGTCTGCTGCCTGGCTGGATGTTGCCTTAAGAAGAGAAATTGAGGGAGTGATTTGGGAAAATTGGGGGTAATTCATGATGATCCTTTTTTTATTGAAGTTTATTAAACAAAAGACATGAAGTTAAAGCCTTTTTATTTCTGAGCTCTTACAGAACTATATAAAATATGTTAAATGCTAACATAACAACTAGCACAAGATAAAGTGGTTCTGTTTTTGTACTGAGACCTAGTTTGCAAGATAACCTTACTCAAAACTTTGTTTTCATATTTCTGCAGAGCCATCCATTCCTTTCCATAGATATTTTCTAATAAACCTCAGGCCTGTTATTACACACCTCTGGAGCACACGGGGGCTTGAACCCAGGTCTCCTGGCTCAGAGGTCAGGCCACTAACACCGTGCCAGAAGAGCACCAAGATGTAATAGATAAGTTTAACTTATTTCACAGAAGGGATATGCCCACAGTGTCAGCTAGATTACTGGTTCTGTTAAACTTGCCCTCACTGGACACAGACCATACAATTCCTGCATCTCATCCAAAGGACAGGTTCAATTAAAAATTGTCCCCCACCCCTACATTGACTCTTACTGAAGTACTGTTTAAGGGAATTTGGGTAGATCCTGAGCAGTCAATCTCTGGTGTGGGCCAAAAACCAGAGTTGCCAAGCAACCACAGCTTGACATTGATGGATAGTGATCAGAATTCAAAAAGGTAACTGATTTTACCTTCTTCTAGCCTCCTCAAAATTCCACCAAGACAGGTCGAAATGATTTTCCCCTTAAGCATGGCATCCCAACATGACTGACACAAATGGGATATGGAGCACAACAGCTATCTACAGACCTCAGATCCCTGCATTTAGCCACTGGACTACACACAGTTCCCAGACTTGCTGTAGAAGGCACTGGTTTAGCCCTAGCAATCTCAGCCAGCCAGCTAAGATAAAAGCAAACACTTTGGATGCTGGAGATCTAAAATCAGCATAGAAAATACTGGAGAAACCCAGCAGGTCTGGCAGCATCTGTGGAGAGTGAAACAGAATTAATGTCATGACTTCTGAAGGGAAGGTCTTTATAGAAAAGACTGCAAAGTCCCAAACAGATTGAGATTTCTGGAACTTTTCCCACCTTATTGCCAGTGTCGGTTTATCTAGCGTGACTTTCACCCTCCAAGGGGATCACATGATTGTAGTGGGGAAATGGAAGAGGGATTGAGCATCCAGTCACTGTGCTCTTTTTCCTGCTCATCCATTTCGTATTAGGTGAACAAGTCACTAATAGGTATGGTAGGTCAGTTTTTAAAAATACAGTCTTGCACTTATGATCCTGTGGACTGTGTGTGAACCCGATGCTCTGGATTCAAGTCCCATGCGAGAACACAATGGCCAAAGAAGGTGTATTCACAACCTAGCCATTCAGGTTAAGTGGCAACCTGCAAATCCCTCTATCGTACACAGGCAAGGAGACTGAAAAAGATTCCTGGTCAGAAATGCAATGGAGAGCGCAATGGAACCTCTCCCATCACAAACCATAGCTCCAGACTGTAACGTGCACAGAGTGTGGCTTGGACAATGAGCAAATTATAACACCACCACTCCTCACATCCTGGAGGCTGGGCTCAGAAAGGCATTGTTTTTATTAATACTTTGTTTAAAAATGAGCCAGAAATTTTACCCGGTGCTCCACATAAGCTGGTAGACTTCCAGTGCCCTGAAATGAGGCTGAAATAGAAATCAAGTACAACATAGGTCACTGCACCGTCAACTAGAGGGCAGATTTTCAGACAAAAATGTGACATGAGTGTGATCCGCTTTAGAAATGATTTTTCATTTAGAAAAAAAGTCAGTCCATTATAACAAAGTTTCTCCTTTCCCCACTACCCAATGAAGCAAGACAAGAGGACAAGTCAGAAACATGTACTGCCTTGTTAAAATTGCACACTGCACTGGTGTTCTCAGTCTTACAAATAACTTGCAGGATTTACTGAAGTTTTGATAAACTGTAGTGAGACCTCCCCCCTGAAATCCCACATCAGAATTAAACCCACCCTCTGTAGGCAGGAATGGAGAACTACAGCTTGAAAAAAAAACTCCTTTCACTAACAATAATTTAAACAAGCTGTAATTATCCTCAATCACTCCTCCCCCCATTTATTTTGGGAATATTTCTGGAAAATTGCCCACTCTGGTGCAATTTTGTCACTTAGTCCGAGTCCTCAGAAAGCTCCCTGTACCTTCCTTTGTTAAATCGATTGGCATGGGCTAGGTGCTGTTATTAAGTCAAGGCCTGGTTACCATGGAAACCCAAACATGAATACCAAGGCCCAGTCCCTCCACAGTTTATGGTATGATTTCTAAACCTTTCTTCCCCACCCCCACTGTATTTTATTAAGTTGGATACAGGAATGACAGGTTTTTTCTTTACAATAGTTCCCAATTCTGGGATTAATTCCAAATTGGAGGTGGGGGTTAATCTAGAAAAGTGTTAATCACCTGTTTTCAGTAAACATGCAGATTATTCTCTGTAAGAAAATAATATTCTTGAATCAATTTGAATTTTGTTTGCAGGGACAGATTCCATTAAAAAGCGGTGGGTTTTCTATGTAATCAGCACATGTAGATTTGGGTCAGAGGTTGCCCACAGTGCAAAAGTTAGTTTTTTTTTTCCACCAACTACCCTCTTTACCCCTTTTTCCTCTTCTGGGGAAAGTAAGTCGTTTTTCATATTCATCGAACACTTTTATCGTTAAGATTTTTGGTGATGGCAGGGGGAGGAATAATATTTTACTCTATAGCCAAAGCTGCAATGTAGGCCCAACTAGAGTTGATAACACCAGCCTATCCCACATTCTACCTTCACATCCACAAGTATGTTCTTCCCACAACTCTGGATGACATTTTTGTCTCCTCCACCGTTGTCTAGCTTAAGGCTGCTGAGGGGTGTTTTGGCAGTCCAGAATTGTTTAAACTCCTGCTTGGCTACATTTCCACAGATCCAGTCAGCCCTCACCCAAGTTGTCCTTGGTTCAGGCTTCACTTGAGGCCCATGGGTCTAAACTGAGGCCTGTGGTACACACAGCATCTCACAGGGTCATTTTCTGGCCCTCACCAGTCAAGTCATTGACACCAACCTAAATTTAAATAGACGGCCCACTCATTTTTGTTCCCTTGATGGCTATTGCTACATTGTACCTGAGGAGAATTTGTAAGTCTGGTTACTGTTGGCAATGTCAATACAAAGGTTTAAGACTGTTTCAAATGCAGTGAAAACACTGGTCATTCTCCTAATAGATTGAGGTCTATTCTCTCTCCTCCCATCCTCACTGCTTGACAACAAAGGCATGTGACTGCCCATTGCTCCAAAAACCAATTCGCATCCCAAGCCTCTATCACAATCGTGTAATATGTTCCTTGGAAGGAAGGGCTCAGGTACAGGCAGAAAGCTCCTACTTTGTCCTTCTGCCCCACTAACTCAAAGTTCAGTGCCCACCACCCATCCCTGTGCCGTTCCTGATCCCTCCCCTTCCCATACCCATATCGTACAACTCCAGAAGGATGGCATTCATGCTTGGTCAAAGCAAAGGAGAGTATGGCACAACACTGTGCTGGCTCAAGCCTATAGCAGGAAGGTGATAGTAGGCAAATCATCTGTGCTCAGCCAAGGTACTCAATAGTCATATTGCTGGCGATGACCATCTCAGTTTTGGGATGGTCCAGTGACCTGCTTCAATCTGACCAATAACGTTCCCAGTTCAACCGCTACAGATCTCCTGATTTTGATTATTAGTGTGGAAGGAGAGAGGCCAGGAAAGACAAGTCAGTGGATCCTGAGCTCAGGTTAAAGATGCATGTGGTTTGGGATTTTGTTTGGTTGGGAGGAATGTTCACAGGCCTGTGTTGATGGCCAAACAGTGAAGATGGACAGACAGGAGAGAAAATAGACCTCGGATCTTACTTACATCCTATTAAATATTTTTGCAGTATAATCACTGTGACGTAGGCAACGCAAACAGCCAATTTATACACAGCAAGCTTCCCAAAACAGCAGTATGATAAATGACCAGGTGATGTGGTATTTGTGTCAGTGTTGACCTTAGTGGAGGGACAAATATTGCCCACGTCAGCAGAGAGACTTCCCAATAATGCAAATGGAGCTTTTACAGTCTGAAAGAAAATGTAAGCACTGAATATGAGCTGCAGTAGGCATCCACAGAGGGTACTGTAGCTCAGCAAGTTGAATCCCTGTCTCTTAACTCAAACTCCAGGACCAACAAATCAAGGAAGGTGTGTTCAAAATGTCAAACAGATTAAGTATCGACCTGTAAATCCTGTCAACATCTGCCAGAGGGGGACAGTTTCCTGGCCAGCTGGTTGGTGGAAATAATGTTGGAGCATCCACCAGCACTATCTGTAGCTCTGGGCTACAATGTGCAGGTAGAAAGCACAACTGGCCTCAGCAACACTGACTCCGCACAAAGTTAATGCGCCACTGCTTGGGACATACAGAAAAGCACCCTGCTCACTTTCAGTGGTCACTCACTGTAGAACAGAATGTAAACTCTGCTGAAAAGACAGGCATGTTGTTGAAACTTGTTGTCTTGCACTTATCAGGACAAATGCAAGAATGCCAAATTTGGAATGATCACAACAATTTACACTGCAGGAGAAAAGGGTGCCAGCTGGTTGGCAAATCAATTCTAGTTGGTGGAGGCATTGCCACGGAGAAAGCAACAGGGAATTTATGGGCTTCCCATGCTCCCAAGAAATTCAAAACAAGTGGTGGAAGTCTTGGGACATATTCCTTTCCTTACAAAGAATATGCACATGAAGGCATGTTCCATCTATCAAATGTGAATGAGTAATGTTCCAAGCTTGATGGATCATCTTAAATTGAAGGCCATTAGCATACTCAGGATTGCTTAGCAATTGCTGCCCAACTGCAGAATTGCTTCCAACAGTAAATATTCATGTTGTTTTGTTTTGGTTCTCTTTTCCGCAAGAGCCACCATAGAATGAGGTGGGGTGGGGTGGGGAAAACAGGTCAAGGTCATTAACAGGTAGGAAGATTTCATCAGAATTGACTGGTGTGTGCCTCCTGAATTCTGAGGAGTGGGTGGGGCAACAGAAATGAAGTCTGGAGTCAAGTAAATTGAGAGGAATTGGTCTGTCCTAAAAAAAAAGCAAAATCCAGTTCTTGGTTACAAAAAACAAAACAAAACAAAAAAAAAAGTAAAGTAAAACTCAATCGTCGTTCACAGGCTGCGCTCCTGAAGGTGATGCACTCTCCGGAGGGTAGGGACAGAGGGTACAGAACTTGTGATCCCTCAAGGCAAAACTGCTCGTTCTACACAATGCCACCCAAATCAGTTTTGCCTTCAAACACCCTATTTCCCCAGCACACACAACCTGACAGTGCAATCGCCGATTTAGCAATCGGGATTGAAAATAGTGCCCGATTCCATTACACTCCCACACCCCTCCTCCAATAATGGCCTTGTGGGGGGGCCCAAAGGGAGGTATACAGAGAGAAGAGGTTGAAGCTACCAAGTGCGATTACAGCTGCTGTCCTGCCACAGAAACCGAAAAGTAGACTCCAAGAGATTCCAAGTGAGTTTGAAGAAGGTCACACGTCCAGTTGGGTTTTCATCTGAACTGCATCTCAGACCCAGCCGTGGGTTACCCAGAGAAATATTTCAACAGCACTCGGCAAAGTCCAATGTTCAGCTTTGGAGCAACAAATTATTTACAAAGTTTGTAAAAGAGAAAGAGAACTTAAATGGCGCCTGGAGAAACCAATTGACTTGTTGGCTTATGAAAATTTGCTGGAGGCACGTGATGCCAGGCACCCAAGAGAGTAGATTTTGTTAAATCATTGTCTTCGCTTATTATGATGATCCTCAAAATACTGTCCAGCAGCTCTTTCTCTCCCTTCTCCACGTCACAAGACTCGATCCATGGATTTGAAATTGAAGAAGAAGGCATTGTACTGAGTTTCAGCTTGGTCGTTGCTCACTTGTAGCTCCACTGCAGACAGAAAAAGAGCGAGTGGGCAGATTAAGAGGTTGACATCTTCGCTTCTCAAACACACACCCTTTCTCCCTCTGGGTGCAGAGAGACATTGACACTCCAAAAATCCCTCCCTACAAATACTGACAACTACCAGGAATGATTTAACCCCCCCAACGCCTCCCCGGGACCTTATGATATTTTTATGATATAATGGGACACTCCCATAGATCCTGATCCTAAGTTTGAGAAATAAAGCTACACAAAAGATTTGCATTTATATATAGCACCTTTCATGACCACCAGACATCTTGGAAAGTTTTGCAGCTGACGAAGTGTGCTATTGTGTTGTGGGGAATGTGGCAGCCAACAGGTGCACAGCATGGGAGTAGCTAGATAACCTGATCACAGAAGTATATGATTATAGAAGTGGGTGGCCTGGTGGTTCAGTGGTTAGCACCGCTGCCTCACAGCGCTAGGGACCTGGGTTCGATTCCACCCCTGGCTTGCACATTCTGTGTGGGTTTCCTCCGGTTTGCTTCCACAGTCCCAAAAAACACGTATAGGTTAGGTGGATTGGCCATGCTAAATTGCCCATAGTGTCCAGGGATACACAGGCTGGCTGCATTAGTTATGGGGAATGCAGGGTTACAGGGTAGGGGTGTGGGTCTGGGTGGGATGCTCTTTAGAGGGTCAGTGCAGACTCAATGGGCCAGTTGGTCTCTTTTCACACTAGAGGGATTCTATGAGAAGGAGGCCATTTGGCCCAGCACCACACTGATGGAGATATAATCGACTGGCCAGGCAACTAGGTGCACTCTCCTCTGCCCCTTTTCAAAAAAAAAAAATGGTGTTGTGGGATCTTTTACCTCCAGAGCAGACATGGTGCTGTGGTTCAAATATTTCTCCAGAGCACAGCGCTCTGACAGTGCAGCAATCCCTCAAAACATCACTGGATTGGGTCAGACTTCATCTTTGTGCTCAAGCCCCACAGTGGATTTGAACCAGAAACCTTGTAGCTCAGAGTGCCACCAACTGAGCCAAGGGAGAGAGACTGAAAAAAATGGAAGAGTCAGGCACCCTAAAACGAAAGTGGTAACTGGGACGTAGAACGTATTTGTTTGTATCGGCGTCAGTGAGAATGACTAAATAGCCCCACTCCCCACAAAAACCAAAGAGCAACAAAAAAAGTGACTGAGAAAAATCAAATAAAGCACTCGAGGCAAATTTTAACTCCCACAGTCACACCTTCAGTGCCCAAGTGCCCCTAGCACCAAGCAGGAGATTCTGGGAATTTGCCCCTTTGGCTTTGGAACAAAAATACTTGCAAGCCAAGTGAGAAGTTTATATAAAAAAAAGATTTGAGTAAATATACTGACCCTCCGTATGGTGGGGGAGGGGCATCATAATGTCCTGATCTTGTCAATGCCTCTTCATACGAGGGAAGTCCAGGGGCAGTGGTCTCCACATTGGTCAAGGGCAGCTCTTCACTCGGCTCAACAGGTGGATGGTTGGTTAGGTTTGGGACTAGCCCTCGATATTCGGGTGGTCTGGAAGAAAATTAAACAAAGGATGGGAGAAAAATCATTGTGTGTCCATGGAGACTCTCAATCCCTCCCGGTTTCATTCTGGGTTCCCTGCACGCGCGCCACCCCACAATTCTCTCTCCTGGCAGAGGCCTGGGCAGGAGGCGTACAAACACACCTGGCAAGTTAACAAGAGGAGCACTATTTATAAAATCAGAGGTTGCCCATTTCAAATGGAGATGAGGCAAAGTTTTTCCTCAGAGGGTCGTGAGTCTTTAGGACATGCTTCCCAAAGAAAAAAGGTAGTGGAAGCAGAATTTTTTTTTTTTAGGCAGAGGTAGATGGACTCTGTTTGAAGTCTGGCACCTACCTGTCTGCTCTCTTCCCCCTCTGTTTGCAGAAGTAGACGACAAGCAGCCCAATGAGGATGAGGAGCACAAATCCACCGATCAGTCCCGCTACCAGCCCAGCAACATCAAACTTGTGAGCAGTGGGGCCACCTGAGGAACAAACAACAACAAATTCAATCTGGACATTGATGGCAGAAAAGAAAGACAGAGTGGAGTCATGGTAATGTCACTGGGTGAGTATTCCAGAGTTCCAGTTAACAGAAACAATCGAAAATAAGAGCAGGAGTAGGCCATTCGGCCCTTCGAACATGTCACCATTCAATATGATCATGGCTGATCATCGAGCTCAGCACCCTGTTCCCACTTTGTCCCAATACCATGACACCCGAGTCCTAAGAACTATATCTAAAACATTGAATGTTTTCAAGAAGGAGTTAGCCTCAACCGCTTTCTGTGGCAAAAAGGATTCCACAGGTTACCCACTCTGAGTGAAGACATTTCTTCTCATCTCAGTCCTAAATGACCTACCCTAAATTCTTAAATTGCGACCCTTGGTCTGGACTTCCTAGTCACTGGGAACATATTTTGGGTACATAGGTTCAAATCCCACAATTGTGACTGGCAGAATCCACTGCATAAAATCTGGAATTGAAAGCTAGTCTCAGCAATACTGACCACGAAATTATCATTGATTGTTGTAAAAAAAAAAACAAAAACCCATCTGGTTCTTTAGAGAGAAGGAAATCTGCCATCTTTACTCGATCTGGCCTATGTACGACACCACAGTGATGTGGTTGACTCAAATAACCTACTCGGTTCAGGGACAAAAATCGAGATGAGCAACAAATACAATCACCCAACAACTCCTGCTAATTACAAACACATAGATCCACACTGGAGCTCCTGTGGTACAGTGGGAGTGCCCTACCTCTGGGCCAGAAGGTCCAGGTTGAAGTCCAACTTGCCCCAGAACACCTTGCTCAAAAATAATTTATAAATCCAAGCTGAACCACCTCAGGGGCACTTCCATTGTCAGGAAGGCTTGGTTGCTTGACTAAAATTAATGAGAAAATGATGAACTCATTTTCACCATTGTGGGTAGCAATCTTGTCCCCAAATGTTAGAAGGCTGTGGGTTCAAGTCCTACTCCAGAGAGTTCCAGCGTAAAAGTCCTCCCACTCCCTGGGAGGTGGTGAGGGAGTGCTGCACAGTCAAACGGTGCTGTCTTTCCTGGAGGTCCTGTCTGCTTTCTTGGGTGGATATAACTGAACCAATGGTATTATTCTCTGAACGTTAAAAGAAAACAGAAGCCTCACTCCCCCTGATCTTTTACCACAATTACACCTTGAATGTCCTGTGCCTGAGCACACTCCAGATGAGATTCAATATAATGCAGGAAGCCATTCAGCCCCATCATGTCTGCACCTGATCTCCAAATGACCATTACTTAGTGCTACTCATGAGCATCCCTGCAAACTGTTCCTTTTCAAATAACCATCTAATTCCCTCAGATGTTTTGACTGAATCTGCCTCCACATTCTCAGACAAAAAGTGTTCTAGACTTGCCTTGAGAAAAATAAAATTTTCCTTACATCACTTTTGTTTCTTTTAAGAATTCCATCAAAATCAATGCCTTCTCATTTTTAATTCTTTCAGGGGCAAGAACATTTTCTCCCTATTTATTGTGTCTAGAACACACATGATTTTTCAATAATTCAATTTGATCTCCTCTCAGCTTCATAAAGTGTTTTGCACATGTTGCCTTTGCCGCTGCCTCTTTCAGCAATTATTTTCAAACCCGTGCTGTCTGGATACCGAGCCTCCAGTCAGCGAAAACAATTTCTCAAGTACTCCAAACTTGTTCAAAGTCTCGAACACTTCCATTGCCTCCGCTCTTACTTTACCCAAGCAGCACAGTCCAATCTCTTTTCCAATTCCTCCACTTTCACCCCTGCTCCAATTCTACTAAGACAACAAGGTGCAGAGCTGGATGAATACAGCAGGCCAAGCAGCATCATAGGAGCAGGAAGGCTGACGTTTCGGGCCTAGACCCTTCATCAGAAAAGGCCAATTCTACTTAGTATCCTTGGTCCTTCAAAGGCTATGACATGCTCCCTAAAGAGTGGATTCAGCCACAGCCCAACTTTCTTTTCACTAAAGTTTGGTAACTTGCATTGATCGTGTGCAAGTCTGATACAGATAATCAGTCACTAACATTGTATCCTGTCATCGCTTACCTGGTTTCTGATTGTTCACATACTGCTTCCAAAACTCGCGCTGTAAAACAAAATAAGCTTTAATAACAAAATAATGTGATGTTAAACCATGTCACAGATGGACATTTTAAAAATATCCCATGTCCACTATTCAAAGAAGAGTGGGGGGGAGTGGGGGGGGCGGGGACGGGTAGGCAGGCAGGCAAGGAGGGTTGTTAGAAGGAAGAAGGGGGTCATCCTAGTGTCCCAAATGATATTTATTCCTTAATTAACATTTTTGTGTGTGCGATGAACTATTCATATCACAGTATGGGAGCTTGCTGTGTGTAAATAGAGTGCCACAGCTCCTACACCATAACAGTGACTACACTTCAAAAACAATTTAATTGGCTGTACAGCAATTGTGGGATGTCCTGAGGTTGTACTATTTTAAAAAGGTGAAATCACTTAAGGTCTGACAGTGTGTGCCTGGTCACACCATAGCTGTGATGGTACAAATCTCCCACGTTGTTAGGCCTCGTAGTTTATGACATTGTTCCTTCATCTTTTCGGACTTCAGTTACAATTCCAACCCAGCAGACAAGAATTCCCCCGAATTTCTCCAACTACGGTGCCTTGACCAGCTAACCATTCTTGTGTCTGACTAGTCGAGGCTGCGTCATCGGTCATCTGGGTCCTGCACTTCTCAAATCTATCCCTAAACCAATCCCTCCTTTAACAGTCTCCGATCTACAATTTTCTTGGTATTGTTCTGTGGCTAAAGAAATATTTACAGAGTATACTGTTAAGAAACATCCCACTGTGGCTTTATCTTGTCACAAGGCTGCAAGCAAGTGTAAGGTCATGTGGTGTACACTGTCAATTAACAAACTTTACCCTTTAGACTACAAAGCCCTACCACTTGCACCTTTTCTAATTATTGTCTCTTTAGTTAATATGTCCATCAACACTCCCTTGGACTGCCTCATGGGATGTTTTACTACACTCATGGCATTATTCCTATCCCAACACAAGAAAGTGAACTGCAGCTAACAGCGGGTGGTGGATAAGTGGAACTTCTGCTGGGGAAGTAAGCAGAGATACAAAGGAGGGCTCCTCCTGACCATTAAGCAGCAGTGTTTGACAGTTGTAGGGTAGGGTGAAGGGGAGGCTGGTGCCTGTGCATCATCCAAACCATCTCCTTCCCACAAATCTACTTTACAGCATGTGGCAAGGAAGGGATGCTGTTAAATCCATTAAAAAAAAAATCCTTTGATGTTGGATCAGCTGGCTGTTGTGAACACAGATGAAAAGGTTGCAGATTAGGCCATTACAGAACTGAAACCAGAAAATGCCATGCAGAGGCAGCAATTAAGGCCCTTTGTCCTGAAAGCCACTCACTCTAAAAAGCTCACATATGCTCAGGTCCTTCGAAGCACAGAGCCGAGGGCCTACATGCTCTCGGAATGATACTCACCGTCTTCTGGTCATCCTCAAAGATTTCACGAGCTTCCTCATAATTGCAGACTTCTTCATAGCATTCCCGCTGCAGATTTCCAGGAGTGATGAGTTCAAAATCCCAGCTGTTGTACATCAGCTTCCGACGCAAGAAGACTGTTGCTTGACTTTCCTTGAGGAACACTGGACGCATTTGGAAGAGAGAAAAAAAAAATGCACGCACAAATTTTAAAGCCTTAGTGCAAAATTCTTTATGAAGACTCATTCCAAGATCTGTGAGATTCAAGTCACAGAAAGCTTTGGTCATAAGAGTTGAAGGATTACACAGAATTTCAAGCACAGAAACATGCAGTTTGGCTCAACTGCTCCATACTATTCTCCACAAGAGCATCCTCCTATCCCTGTTTAACCCTATCAATATAAACTCCTTTTTCTCCCTTGTGTATGTCCAGTCACTGTTAAAAGTATCTATTCCATTCACCTCAACCACTCCCTGTGTTGGCGAGTTTCACATTCTACCCCATTGAGTAAACAGATTCCTCCTGAAGTCAGTTTTGTATTTATTAGTGACCATGTAATCTTTATGGCACTGAAGATGTTTCCAATTGCACAATGCATTACATCTACCCTTTCAATCTTCTTACATAATGCTCTGTGTCAATGAATAGCTAAACGATTTTTTTTATTTGAGAAGGTTTTATTTATGGAACTGGTACAGAAAGGGAAATGAACTAGGTAGGGAACATACCTTCACCCTGAAGGAGTCCTTGCTGTGGCAGGGTCCGTGCATCGATCGAACAAATCTCGGTGAGGGTGCAGATTAGAAGGACCACATATAACAACCGATTGGTAACCATTCTGGAGGAGTACCTAGTTCCAACAGAATGACAGAAGGTACACTGATTAACATGATGGACAGAAAGGTGGGGTCATTCATTGAAAGGCTCTAGACTTGACTATCCCATCACATTCCTGGTCGGTGTCTCATATTCTACCCTTCATAAACAGGAGATCATCCAAAACATGGCTATCCACATCACAATAAGTCTCATTCCCAATCCTGGCTATTGGCTCCTGGTTAAGCAAGATCTTTATTTTCAAATCCTTCCATAGCATGAACCCCTCCTGATCTCCAATTTCCTCCAGCCTCACAACTAGAGATAATCAGTGCTTAACTAAATGTGGCTTCTTGTATATCCTCATATTTTAATAGCTCCACTATTGGTGGCCAACACCACGCCCCTCCCCACCAAGTAAGCTCTGAGATACCATTGTAACACCTCCCTCCTCCCCCACCAGTCTTCTGATCATTTGACCTAAAATCTCCTTATGTAAGTCGGAGCCACATTATGTTCATAATGAACGTATGAAGCACCTTTGGATGTTTTATTACTTGAACATTACCGGAAAGAGAGACATAGGAAGCATTTGCTGATATATCATATATTGATGGGGTTAAACCAAGAGGGATGCTGAAGCATTCTGCCTTGCACTCATCAGGGCAGAATATCAACATTTCAAACAATCACAACAATTTGTGTTTTTACATTGGGAAAGGATTGGCAACATGGCTCTTTTGCCATGGCTGTAAGCAACAAATTCAGATACAGTGAGTCATTCTCTGTAAATGAAAGGAATACATTCTAGCTATGGGCTCTTTATTTTAAATTAGCTAGGAGCTTGGGGAGGCTATAGTTCCCAGTTGTTTTCTCCCAGGCAATGCCTCGGACAGAGTTGATTTGTTAACCAATCAGATGAAAACCTTCAGCAATTTAGAAGTTGAGTACCATCAAGCCATTTATGTTTAAAACAGAAAAAAAGGTGCTATGTAAATATAACCTATTGGAAAATGGTCTAATTTCTTTCAATATCCTTCATCCAACCTCAAACTCCAGTTTAGAATCAAGGTAAAAGTCTCTGGCATTGTGTTCTACACAAGGTTTCACCTAAAGCCCTCCCCTCATCCATGTAGCCTCTGGGCGATTCTACACCAAACAGGTCTTTTCCACAATCATTTTTTAAAATATAATTAATAACAGTGTTATACAATTAAAATACACTCAATTTAGTTTGTTAAATTGCCCAATGGTTTTACCGTGATGTTGCTCGAGTATCCTGGAAATTTTTTATTCATTCACAGGAAGCATTCAACTTTGGCAAGTTCACCATTTATGGCCCATCCCTAATTGCCCTGGAGAAGATGGTGGTAAGCTGCTTACTTTAAGTAGTCCATGTGGTGTAGGTACACCCACAGTGCTTTCAGGGAGAGTGCGCCAAGATTTTGACAGTGACACTGGAGGAACAGTGATATATTTCCAAGTCAGAATGGGGTGAGCCTAATGGGGAACTGCAGGCAGTGGTGTTCCCATGCATCTGCCGCTCTTGACCTTCTAGGCAGTAGCGATCATGGGTTTGGAAGGTGCTGTTGAAGGCAATAGCAAGTTGGTGAGAAAGAAAGAATATTTATTTTCCAGTGAATTCACGACAAACAATCATCAGAACCCTGAGCTAGCAGCTTTTAAGCCTGAGAGAGGTTTCAAAGCTAACTATAATTTTGTCATTCTTTTATTTTCCCAGCCGTAGAATTAAAAAAAAAATGTGCAGAAGGAGGCCATTCAGCTCATTAGCTCTGTGCTTGTCTTTTTTACTTAGGTTAATGTAATAGTTGAATGGCTTGCTGGACCACCCTTGAGGACATTAAAAGTTAAAGAAAAAATGTCAGAGATACGGGGATAGAAGAGATGGAAATGAAGGATAATGTAACAAAATGCAAAAAGACAAGGAAAAATAATCACATTTCTATAGCTGCTTCCATGATCTTGAAAATGGTAAAAAGTGCTTTATATACAATGAAGCACTTTTGAGGTGCTTTCTTGAGTGAGGTATGGTGTAAGTGACCACATATTTTCCTCTTTTGGACATTTAAGAAAAAAAAAACTTTATCTATATAACATCCTCGAAAGTAATAGGAGAATTCTTTTTCATGCAAATTTCAACATCCAGTGGGAGTATGTACTGAATACTTTAGCTATACAATATGTTACTTTTTGCAGCAGTGAGGTAGACACATTGAGACATAATGGTACCAGAGCTCTGAGTCAAAAAAAAAAGCTGCCTGGTGACAGCCTTTGGATTGGTCTAGCTGCAGTTTGTTAGAGAGCTATGAGTGCAGTCAGGGGTATCTCTCCCAGAGAGAGAAAAAAGGTGAAAAAACTGCAGACTCAGAAGAAAAGTCAAGGTCAAGAATGGATCTGGATCCATCTGATTAACTATTGAAATCAAAGATTGACCGTCATTTTGCACACATCGTGGCATCATAGCCAAAAGCAAAAGAACTAGGAGAAGTAGCTCTCCATCTTTGTAGTCCGGAGTTTTGATCAACAGAAATTGTTTTCCCGGTTTCATATTTTCCACCCACAACATCGGTTTTGTCCCTCTGATTGGGGGAAGTGCAATGGAGGAGTGAGAAGTTAAAGGGACATGGCTTAAGTTACATAGTAGTACATTAATAATCTCTTTTGCTATTTGTTAAAATAGCATTTATCATCAAGTCATTTTCAAGATAATGACAAAACCAGTGTGAAATTATGTTTGTCTTAAATATCAGTCAGACAAACTGATCATCTCGATGCTTTAATTGGGTAGTTACACATTGGAGATAGTCTGTGGGATAATGCAGCTTAATTATCAGTGCGCTCCTCCCAAATGAATTGTAACAGGGGATGCTGTGGTAATGTCACTGGACTGGTAATCCAGCGACCCAGGTTTATTCCCAAGGTACATGGATTCAAATCACAACACTGCAGTTGGTAGAATTTCAATTCAATCAATAAGAACATAAGAAACAGGAGAATGAGTAGGCCTTCTGGCCCATGGAGCCTGCTCCATCATTCAATAAGTTCATGGCTGATCTTTATATGGACTCAGCTCCACTTACCTAAATCGCTCACTGTAACCCTTAATTCCTTTGCTGTTCAAAAATCTATCTTTGCATTAAAAACTTTCAGTGAAGTAGTTCGACTGCTTCGCTGGGCAGGGAATTCCACAGATTCACAACTCAACTCAGACCTAAACCTACTTCCCCCTTGTGTTCAGGCTATGCCCCCTAGTTCTAATTTCACCCGCCAGTGGAAACAACCTCCTGCTTCAATCTAATCTATTTCCTTCATAAATTTTACATGTTTGTACAAGACTTCCCCCCTCATTCTTCTAAATTCCAATGAGTATAGTCCCAGTCTACTCAATCTCTCCCCATAAGGCAACCCTCTCAATTCTAGGAAGCCAGTCTCAGAAATGACCACAATGACTATCCTCGACTGAGTTTTTAAAAACTCATCTGGTTCAATAATCTCTTTTAGGGAAGGAAATCTCCATCCTTTCATTGTCTGGCCTACATGTGACTCCAGACCCACAGCAATCTGGCAGACTCTTAACCGCTCTCTGCAATGGCTTAGTGATTAAGTCTATTCAAAAGGAATTAAGGATGGGTTAAAACAAAATGCTGGCTTTGCTGACAATCCCCACATCATGGGAAAGAATAAAGAAACAGTGATTGTATTAATGTAGGAAACATGGCTGCCAATTTGCACAGAGCAAGATCCCAAAAACAGCAATACAATACACAATAAGATCACTGTCAAGGAATGTGCTTGTCAGGTTAGATTTTGGTGTTTCCACGAGTGGGGAAATCTCAAAGTAGGGGACAGAGTTACAGAATAAAGGGACACTGAGACACAAAGGAATTTCTTCTCTCAGAGGGTAGTCAATGTCTGGGATTCTCTACCCCAGACAGCTGTGGAGGTTAGATCACTGAACGTATTGAAAGAGGCAACACAGATGTTTGAAACAGGAGCTGAGGGCTATGAGGAACTGGTACAAAAGAGGAGGAGTTGAGGCTTGGAGCAGATCACCCCTGGTCTTACAGTATGGCAGGGGTGCCAAATGCCCTTGTCCTACACCTATTTTTCATGTTTGTATCTCCTGCATTGGTTGATTCCACTCCCTCCACCACCGACGTTCAAAGATCCTCAGACAGCACCTTCCAAACCCACAAATACTTCCATCTAGAAAGGACAAGGGCAGCAGATATATGGGAATACCACCACCTTCAAGTTCCCCTCCAAGTTGCTCACCATCCTGTCTTGGAAATATATCACCACTGTCGTTGGGTCAAAATGCGGGAATTCCCTCCCTAATGGCATTGTGGGCTAACCCACAGCAGGTGGACTGCAGTGGTTCAAGAGGACAGTTCACAACCATCTTAACGGCAACTAGGGATGGGCAATAAATGCTAGCTAGTCAGCATCACCCATGTCCCACCAACGAATGAAAGAAAATTGATGAATACCATTCCAAACACCGAAGAGGAGATACACGTACAGATTAATTGTGACAAGACTCCACACGCAATAAGAGGGGGAAATCTTAACTGAAACAGACAGAAATGAGCATTTTCACATTATATAATTTTCCATATCTTAAAGTTAAAACCGAGACCACAGATGTGAAAGTGAAACTAAAACAATAAAATTACCCATTTCCTCCCCGTCACAGCTTTCAAGCAGTGAGAATCCTGTTGACAAACTTTGAGTCACCCTTTAGGGACATGCCCCAAAAATCATGAACAACTATCTGAAATCAGTTCCATTGTGTCTACCAAGCAAGTTATGGCAAGTCAATACTACACCAGGACTGTCGCAGTGTGTCACATTCTAAACAACATGTCCCCGTACACCAACTTGTAAGACATTGCATAAAGTCAAGCAGCTTGCCATTTTGTGGTCTGGGTTACACATCATGACAACCTCATTGTTCATTGAGATAACAAACATCCAGTCAGATCTTGCAGTACAGCACAGTTATTTATCTAATGACTGCAAAACCCCAACACCAAGCAATTACTTCCTCACTTGCTGAGTTTAAACTGATGAGTCTGCTACTGAGTCTGAGGAAGGGGCACTCCTGGGTAATGTGCAGCATTGTAAGTGTCTCTCCACAAGCATGGAAGGAGTTTATATAGAGGTCCCAGTAATGGATATTGGCTGCACAGGGACCCCATATTGTCCTGAATCTGTTTGGCAAAGACCACTTTCGTCAGTTCAAAGCCCACTGTTCAACAGATGGGGTTTGTCACAAGAACCAGCCAATGACTTTGTGCTTCACACTCCTGAATCCAATGGGTGTTTGCCAGTGGGATCTTGCTCAGCAATGTTACTCTGTATGGGGATGCCAGAATGGAAGGCAGACAGTAGGTGGGTTGAACCAATAATTATGAAATGGGTAAGTAAATGGTACGCAGCACAAGAGAATGCTGGGGAGACGAGGGCTGTGGACTCCTCTCTAGACAGAAAAAATGTTTGAGTCTGGGGTGGGAATTGGACCTCTGTTTTTTTAATAATGTTCCTACAATTCGATAACCGGGACACAAGGCCCGAGCCCAGTGTTTTCCATAGCGCAATAACAACTAAGCAACATCCCACAGCCACAAAAGGTGCTATAGAAATGCATTAGTTGCTGCTGTCAACAGCTAAAAGGTGATCCAAATTATGCTAACCTTGCATTTACAGCCCCAGGCGAGTGATTGCATCTCCACTGACTCAGCTCCCTTGCGCGGTCAGGGTTCTGCTTTTCTGGAAGGTCCAGTTGTCAGCCCTCACTGTTCAAACAGACAGATATTCCCAAATCAAACACAGAGACAGCTGTGAGGCCAAACCACAAAAAGACAACTTCACAAACCAACAGTTCACTGCAGCAACTATCAAGCTATCAGTTACCACGGACAAACTCTTAATCGACATCCCCCAACTGTCAGCAAGATTCACACCAACAAAATTAGAATAATTTTAGAACAGATGGAGAATAAATTAATTAATAAGCAACTGTGTCAAGCAAACAGGTGCTGAAACATTCTCACTTCGAATGCTTAGTTTCAGATCCACTCTTGGCTTTCCGAGAGACGAGTGTTGTCATTGTCAAGAGTTAAGCCCATTGACGTTTCACCCCTGCCTCAATATAAACCATCAGACTCAGCCTGACAGCAATGCTGTCAACTCTCAACTATTTCCAAACCCTCATACCTCTCAAAGGCTATTTTATTTTCATGAAACAAAAAGAATTGAGAATCCAGACATGAATTTGAAATAGAGCCTTCATCAGAAGTGGGGGAGGGGAAGGGGGTTCTGAAATAAATAGGGAGAGAGTGGGAGGCGGATAGAAGAGAGGATAGGTGGAGAGGAAACAAACAGGTCGAAGAGGCGGGGATGGGACCAGTAAAGGTGAGGAGTTAGGGAGGGGCTCATATTCCTCTTGGGAACCCTGCAGCCCAATGGTATCAATGTGGATTTCACAAGCTTCAAAATCTCCCCTCCCCCTACCGCATCCCAAAACCAGTCCAGCTCGTCCCCGCCTCCCTAACCTGTCCTTCCTCCCACCTATCCCCTCCTCCCACCTCAAGCCGCACCCCCATCTCCTACCTCCTAACCTCATCCCGCCCACTTAACCTGTCCGTCCTCCCTGGACTGACCTATCCCCTCCCTAACTCCCCACCTACACTCACCTTTACTGGTCCCATCCCCGCCTCTTCGACCTGTTTGTTTCCTCTCCACCTATCCTCTCCTCTATCCATCTTCTATCCGCCTCCCATTCTCTCCCTATTTATTTCAGAACCCCCTTCCCCTCCCCCTTTTCTGATGAAGGGTCTAGGCCCGAAACGTCAGCCTTTCTGCTCCTATGATGCTGCTTGGCCTGCTGTGTTCGTCCAGCCCTGTACCTTGTTGTCTCGGATTCTCCAGCATCTGCAGTTCCTACTATCTCTGATGAATTTGAAATACTTTTTTGTCCAGTTCAGATTTAATTTTAGAGCCAAACTTTCTAAGCTGCCTCAGGTTCCTTGACCGAATAGAAGTCCTTCATGCATGAACCTTTGACAGTGAATATTCCTCCATGTGAGGCATCACAATAAAGATAATTCTCCTGCTGTGGCTCAGCTGATAGCTCACTGGGACCCTAAGTCAGAAGGATATGGGCTAATGCCAAATGGTCCAGAGTTGAGTGAACAGCCCACCTTGCCACTTCAGTGCAGCACCAAGGGAGCTCTGTATGGTCAGAGGAGCAGGAGATGTTCAACTGTGGCCCTGCCTATCTTGTCAGGTGGACGGAACCACTCCTGTGGTCACTCTACCAAAGAGCATGAGGATATCACCCCCAGCAAGCTCACCAGGCTAGAAAGTATTGATTCCCAATCAACACCATTAGGATTGGGTCATTACTAGGACAGATTATCACAGTGCCATTGGTGGGAGCTTGCTGTGCACAAATTGGCTTCCAATGTTGCGAATTTCCAAATTCTTTTTCTCAGCAAAGGAAGCCTCTGGTATTAAAGGATCCAAGAGGGCATTGCCGTATTCTTAAAGCCAGAAAGCAGAGGATTCAGTTTCTGCTTTACATACTTGAGCACATAACTTAGGAAATAAGATTTATGATTCAACCATTCAGGTCCTTCTGCTATTTGATAAGAAGGTGGCTAATCAGATTGTGGTTTCAACTCCCCCTTCCTGTCTATCCCCTTACCCTCTAAAAATCTGTCCAAGTCAGACTTGAATATATTCAATGATCCAGCCTTCACAGATCTTCAGGGAACAGAATGCCACAGACGGTCAACACTCGAGAGGAAAAATAAAATTCTCATCTGCCTTGAAAAGAATGGCCTCTGAAACACGAAAAAAATTCTCTCTACTTCCAGATTTAATTGGGAGATGCCCAATTTTTAAAAACACATATTCTAGGCTAGCTCTGTAGTATTGAAAGATCCGTCTTTTGAACAAGTCTATATCTTGACTTTCAGTGCATTGTAGAAGATCCCAAGAAACTATTTTTGAGAGAAGAGGCATGGAGCCCTAACTCATCTCGTGGCCATTATTTATCCCTCAATCAACATCCACGTAAAACCAAACAGATATCTATGCAATTATCTCATTGCTTGCAGGCAGTAACTTTAAGTATTATTTGCAAAAGTCTTAGAAGTCACGTGGCATCTTTGGAGAGAAACAGAAACCGAAACCTTCTCTCCCCAGATGGCTGCGTGATCTGGTGAGCTTTTCAAATTTTCTCTGGTTGTTATTTCAGATTTCCAGTAATATTTTGTTTTTGTTTAAAAGCTACTTTTATTTTTGGACTTACTGGAATTTCCCAGGTGTACAACATACTCGTGAGCAAGCGATTGCCGATGGCAACTTTATTGGCTGTAAAAGGAGGTAGTGAATGGTGCTAAATAAATGCAATAAATCAGTGGAAGTTCATTATAACATAGTTCAATATACCTCATACTCAGTTACAGTGCAGCGCTTCATGTCTCTCAAGACAGTCAAATCTTTATTTAAGTCTTCATTTTCCTAGTTAAAAAACAGGAGAAAATACGCTTTTCTTTAAAAGAAAGAAAAACTGGCCTGCATGTAAGGCAGTCTAACTTTCTGGATCGCAATATCCATACTATACAATTGGGGGGCGGGGAGACATGTGGGGGGCTTTGGAGGGTGTGCAGAGATTTACCAGGATGTTGTCTCACCTGGAGTATGTTAACTATGAGGAGAGGTTGGAAAACTTCAATTGGTTTTGCTAGACTGTCAGATGTTGAGGAGCGATCTGACAGAAGCATATAAAATTATGGAAGCTGTGGACAGGGTGGATAGTCAGAATCCACCCCCGAGGATAAAAACGTCAAATACTCAGGGGCATAAGTTTAAAGGCGAGAGGGGGAAAATGTTTAATGGAAATGTGCGAGGAAAGTTTTTTTTTAAGAAATGCAGAGGGTAGAAGATGTCTGGAACGTGCTGTCAAAGAAGATGGGAGAAACAGATAATGATAGCAATGTTTACGTGGCATTTAGACACAAACAAGCAGGAAATAGATGGATACAGACCACGTACAAGCAAATGGTATTAGCTTAGAATGGCGTCATGGTTGGCATTGACGTGATGTGGAGGTGCCAGTTTTGGACAGGGTGGACAAAGTCAGAAGTCACGTGACACCAGGTTACAGTCCAACAGGTGTATTTGAAATCACAGGCTTTCAAAGCACTGCTCCTGCATCAGGTGAAGTCCACTTCAACCTGACGAAGAAACAACATTCCGAAAGCCTGCTGAGTTCAACTAAACCTGTTGGACTATAACCTGGTATCACACAACTACTGACTTTGGCATAGACATGTTGGGCCGAAGGGCCTATACTGTACTGTTCTGTTTTATAATGGACTTCTGCTGTACCTCAGGTACAAAGTTAAAAATACAGCGAGAAATTGCTTCCGAACGTTAACTTGCAATAAATTGAGCACAAGTTCCAGGTATGACGTAGCAAATTTAGGATTCGTCGCAGTAAATTGTATGACACAGAACAATCAACATACAGCATGAATTCCGTGGTAGAAGTCACAACTCTGGAATCATTTAAAATGAAAGTGATTTGCAACAGGTTGACTGTGGGCTTTATCCGGATGGGTGAACTAAAGTGCAAATTGTCACTGACAATTTAATGAGCTGGTGATAAAATACTTCATTACGGCTGTGAGCACTCCTCGCAGGGCTGAAGAGTTTCAGTACGTGGATTAACAGTGCTTCCATTTCTGTTTCGGTTTGGTCCTCCTCCCTTCTCCCCTCCCCACCTTTGCTCCCTTGCGCACACACCACCCCCCCACCCCAATCCTGTTGTTTGCCTTCTGTCTTTATTCAGCCAATATGACTCAGTGCTGGCAGACTTCACCCTCTCATTAACTTCAGGGTGTTTGAACTGACTGCAGATGTGCCTTGTGAACAAATGGGAAAGTAAAACTGTGCAATTCTGGACATTTCAGTCGGTTTGCTGAGCCGAGCCCATTTGGAGCACGTTTCCTAATCACTGACTGTACTGAATGACCTGGCCACAGCTGCCCCATGTTCAGAGGGCTAAAGGTGGCCTCAGTACCACTGTTAATTGTAAGTGGGGGGGGCAACAATCAGACAAGGATTCTGTCCTGAAATCCCAGCTGGAATCTATGAACATACACATTAGGAATGGGTGTAGGCCACTCTGCTCCCCAAGCCTCTCTAGCCAAGATTGGGGCTTTCTAATTACACCACATTCCCACCTACCTCCCCATTACCTTTCACCACCCCCTTGCTCAAGCATCTACCGCTACCTCAAAATACTTTTCAAAACACATGCACTTCCTCAAAATGCAGTGAAAGCAAATTTCTATTTTTGAGAACAAATTACTCATCTGTTAAGGGGCTTCCCCTTATTTTTGTAAACAGTGACCCCCTAGTTTCCAAGACAACAAGATGCAGAGCTGGATGAACACAGCAGGCCAAGCAGCATCATAGGAGCAGAAAGGCTGACGTTTTTTCTGATGAAGGGTCTAGGCCCGAAACGTCAGCC